AATTGGAAAAAATTTAACTAGTATCGCTGGGACCTGACGACCCTTCCACTGAGCAACCCCTTCGTGTCCTCCCAGGGATAACCCAATCACCTTCTTGGGAGCCTTTCTTCCGTCATCTGAACATGACCATACCAGACAGGCAGCTGCTTGGTCATGACGTCGAATACGACGTAAATTTTCTTCATTTCCTTAAAAATTAAGGTTTCACCGAAAAACACTTGTTGTACGAAAAACAAGTAGGGATGGAAATAGTTCTTTTCCTTCTTTTACGAAAAATAATTCAAAATAGAAAAGAAATGGAAACAGTCTAATTGGTCCGTATACGAAGAATTCGAAACAAAACCATTTTTCTTCTCCAATTAGGAAAGGGGGGAATGAGGATGGAGGGAGAGGGGAGGAAGAGGAGTGGTGAGAAAAAGTTGGAAACAATCCTTTCAGTTTTTTTTATCTATTTACTTATATTTTATGTTTTTGTTTTTTAAAAATGTATTGTTATTCAATTATTATTTCACAACCAGTGTTTGACTGGAAAACTAGTTTTTTTCTTTTTTAAGTGTATTTTCCGAGGATAAATACACTATTTTTTCGCATTGTCTTTTCTGTTTTTTCTTTCCTTTTGTCCGTTCTTCCCTGACACTTAATAATGTCAGTATCGAAAAACCTTAAAGATCCAACTCTTCAGAGTATCTGCGGCGGCGGTTATTTTAATTTTTTTTCTTGTTTTAAAAAAAAAAAATTATTTACCTACGTATGTACTTATTTTTCATTTTATACAACTAATGTTCAACTGAGGGACAATGTTCTTTTCTTTATTAAGTGTATTTTCCACTGGTCGAAAATACACAAAACAATTCCACAAACTCAAGGAAAATACACTTAACAAAGAAAAAAAAACTTAAGTAAGTGTATTTTCCAAGGAAAATACACTAGGTATCTTTTGAGATTAATTTTTTTTTTGTTTTTATCCTTATCCTTCATACTTTTCTTGCCCGTCGCTTAATAATTCCAGTCTCGAAATACCACCAAAACCCGCGACTCTTCAGAGTCTCCAAGGCGGGTAAACAAGGAATCGAAGTGGATATTCCTGGCCGGTCGACGAAGAAACGAACGAGGGACTCCGACGGTGGACGGTGCCGTCTTCCCGGTGCGCGGCCGGCGGTGGTGGAGTCGGAGTCGAGTGGCTGTCCCGAGTTCCGTGTGCACTGGCGACGGTGGCGCGCCCGATTGAGGCACTGCTATTCCTCTCGCGTAAAGTTCTCTGGGTCAAAAGTTCAACCGAGTTCACTCCGCGCTCCGACACGCGCCGCCACCGCGCTACCCCTGCCGCGCTCTGTCGCCACGCCCGGGAACTGCACTGCGTTACGCTGGTTGCGAGTCGTCGATTTGAAGGCGTTTTATAGAGGCGGAAGCGTCGCGTCGTCGGTCGTCGCATTCGCGTAGGTCGCGACTCCGTTTAGTTACAAAGGAAGGTGGGTATAGATCGTTTTCGATAGTGGTTCGATGTATCGTTTGGTTCAAAACAATACAACAAAACCTCAAACAAAACTTTCAGGATTTCAGTCGGAAAAGCTGAAAATGAGAAAATGTCTAACTATTTCACCTTGCGATGCCATTTATCAGTACTCATAGGAATCAAAAATCTATCAGAAAAACCCCGTTTCCTCAGATTACTCGATTGACTTGTGAGGCTATGTTTACATGATGAACCAATCGATATCGATACGATCTCACCTATTTGATGTATCGAAAACGATCTATGGATTCGATCAACTTGAATCGGTGGAAAAATAAAAAAAACTGATCGATCGACATGAAACGATTGAAGGATGATTGAAAAACTGCGGGGTGATTAATTAAATTGATAAACAAAGCTACAGACCACCAAAAAAAATATAAGAAGACGAGGAAAAATGAAGCGATCGTATTGGTGAAGCGGGTGGTTACGATAAAAAACGGAAGATAAGAGACTAGGTTACGGCAACCGACAAGCGGCCCTACAATTAGTCCATCGTTTTCCTCCTTAGCCTATAAGGACCGCCCATTACGACCAATAGGATCGTTGCGTACGCTTTACGTTTTCTTTGTATATCGCCTTGATCATCAATTCGTTCTACAGACCGCCGGGTCAATTCGATCGACACCGACTAGATCGAAACTGAGAATCGATTGGAAACCCACGTTCCGGTAGGCAAAACCGTGAAACGATCGAAATATCCGTGAATAGATCGACAAACGCATGAGTCGATCGCCGAACAAGTGAGACCATCAACAAACCTTTGAGTCCATCGACACATATGGGTTCGATCAGCAAAGCCGGAAAGCGATCGAAAAAACCATGAATCCATCCACGTCTCAATGAATCGATTAACAACTCAATTATTAATAATTCTCGTGAATCGATAGACAAACTCGAGAATCGATTGAATTCAACCAATTGCGTTTACAGCAGCTGTAGACTAATTTGTCGATCGAATCGTAGCGAGCGTTTCACGTTTAGATTTTTGGATCGTATCATGTCGAAAGAAAGGGATTATCTGTTGCTGGGGGCATGATATCCATTCAGGTATGTATCTCAGGAAACGCGGGGACAAAACACCCAATTTCTCACTTTTTCGGACATCATAAACATGCGAGCAACTATTCGAGCTCCGGAGTATGTATGTGGTATCAAGAAAAATTGAAGGAAATCCTTAACTCATTGCCTATCTCAAGTAACTGACCTGTATAAATATGATGTTCGCATCAAAAAAAAAAAAAAAACTCGCG